CTCTAGTTTCTGCTAGAATCGGTCTTTTCTGCAGAGACCCTCTGTCTGGCGGTGTTATTCGTCCGCCATCTTGCTCCGCCCCCCCCAAAGGATTTTTTAAGATCAATTTTTATGATCAAACTGAATCCAAACTGGGAGAAGGGCATCATGAATTAGTATCACCTTCATGGGCTTACAAGCTATGAATATACATGAGACATATTTCATATCATCTTCTATGTTTTATATAGGTGACAAATTGTGTGGAATTCCCACATGTGTGGGAACTATGTTTATATTTTTCATTGTTAGAGCTCTCATTTCTGCTCATAGTAGTTTCTCCAGAGCTTTATTTTTTTCCCACTTAAAAATACAAATTTTAGAAATTGAAACTTTGTAAGCAATATCTTTCTCCAATGTGAGATAAAAGCCTGCATTATATATTTAGGTATCTATATGCATTTTCTTATGCACCTGTATTCATTCTATGCAGTAGTGAGAATGACCCAAAGAAGTAGATTATAGTGAGAATTTGATGCTGATAGACTAAAAGACTTTATGTAGAAAACATTCAAAGTTTTCTATTACAGTGATTTGGTTATAACATAATAAGGCTGAGTGGTATGGAAATATAGAAATATTGCCTCTGGGAATATGTATATATAAATACGTATATATGCTGTATTAAATACATATTTAATATTTTTCTTAAATTTAATTTAAATTGATTCAGTCTTTTAAATCTTAGCTTCATCCTAAGTAATCATAATTTTAAAATGGCAGGTTTGATGAGTTAGTTGTATTTTCTAAAATTTAAAATAAGCCCCCTACTCTTATCTTAAATCAAGATTTTTCTATGTGTTCAGAACTCATTCATTTTAAGTATAATTTAGAAAGTTCATTTGTGAGCTACCAAAATTATCTCCCATGTCACTTTCTGTTCCTATTATACTTTCAGTTGTACCACATATTGATGTACATATTGGATCACACAGAAGAAATGGCTCCCTAAACAGCTAAAGGAGGTTTATATATGTAATATATGAGTGGGATGTTCTCCCCTTAAGGGAAGAACAAATGGGTTTCTAGGGAAACAAAAGTGTGTGATAATGTTTCTTTATGTAGGTAGGAATGGTCTTCTCCAGTTTTTTCTTCATTCCCATAACATTCCCTGGTAGAGGGGATTCATCATAGCTTCATTCCCAGAAGCGTTTCCTTTTAGTAGATAAAAGAAGTTTGGATAAGGCTTCTTTCTGTCTCTTGAATCTCAAATGTCTTTAGTTGAAAATAATCTTAATATTATATCTAGGGATCTGAATATGTCCTCACATTTTGAAATTTAAACATCACTTTGGCTTTTTTTTTTTTTTGGAGGGGGGCATAATATGATCATGTTCTATCTTATAATGGATCAAAAAAAATCACAGAATACAGGAACCACATAGTTATTTGGAAAATTCTACCCATAGAGATTTTTGCTGTCTAAGACATTACCTACGTGCATTTCTTTAGAACCTCTCTTGAGCAACTAGATTGGGAAAAAGCATAACTAGAATCCAGTATTACTCAAGGTTTAAGAAAGTGGGAATTTTAAAAAAATTGACAGGCAAATAATATCTGGTAACTGTTACACAGGGAGACGTTTTATGAGCAAAATGAAGTAAAATGCCAGTCTTTTAGTATAATTTCTTTAAAGAATTAATTGAGGTAAATTAATGTAAAATAAAATTAACCATTTTAAAGTAAATAATTCAGTGGCATTTGGTACATTCACAGTGTTGTTCAGCACCACCTCTATCTAGTTCCCAACCATCTTCATCACTCCAGAAAGAGCTGACATCCCTTAAACAGTTGCTTCCCATTTCCCCTCCCCAGCTCCTTATTGCTATTGATTTGTGTACTATTTTATGGATTTACCTCTTCTAAATGTTTCATATAAATGGAACATACCATATGTGACTTTCTGTTTTGTCTGGTTTCTTTTCTTAAAGAGTTTTGGAGGCTCATCCATGTTGTAGTATATATCAGTACTTCATTCCTTTTTATGCCTGAATAATATGCCATTGTTTGTGCATACCATAATCTCTGTTTATCCATTCACTCATTGATAGATATGTAGGCTTTGTCACCTTTTGGCAAAAGTTGATTGTTGATGGTCCTTTGATGAACATGCATCCAATTATAATTATTCTCTTAAATTGAAAAAAATAGAAATTTAAAGAGATAGAAAAATATAATAATTTTTCAAGATAGTAACTAAATACTGTGAGAGTAAAAATATTTCCAGATTCTACCACAATGAATGATGAACAAACATCATCACCCTAAACAGTGGATGTTCTTAATGGAAATGACTTGGGCCTAATCCTTCTTTTTGTGTCCTCATGCCAAATATTCATTAGATAAATATAAACAATGTAAATTTTTAATGAAACTACTACCCGTTACTTAAGTACAGGCTGGTCATAGTGATTTCCTTCAAAAAAAAAATGTAAATGGAAAGAAGCAAGAGTAAGTTTGCAATGAAGAAACCAAACACAACCTGAGCCATGTGATCAAGCCTAACATCAGTGATATGTCATGCTAGTAATACATATTCTTGCCATAATGTGATGCAAATGGCATTTATCCTCTATGGTTTTCCTCCCTAAATAGTATAACCTAAATCTAATCTTGAGAAAAACACCAGACAAACACATATTTTGGAACACTCTGCAAAGTATCTGGGTAGTAGTCAAAATTTTTCATGTCATCAAAAACAAAGGAAGTCTGAGTAATTGTCACAGCAGAAAGGAGTCTGAGGAGATATTGTGGCTAAATACAAAGTGAGATCTGTGTGGGATCCTGTAAAAGAAAACAGACATTAAGTAAAAACTAGAGAAATCTGAGTAAATTATGGATTTTAGTTAATAGCAATGTATGGTGGTAGCAAAATTGCACTGGACATAGTTAAACAGGCCAGAAAAACTTCATTCAAGGCTATTGCAATAAGGAAGAAGGACCAGAATGCAGTCTGAACTCAATTCTGCTGACAAGAAGGGCTGGAGAGTTGTTAAGGGCTGGGGTAAGTGTGGGTGTGGAGGGATCAAGGGCCATTTGTGTTTATTAATTGTCCTTTCCAAAGGAAAATAAACTTCCTTGAATCTTCATGACAGGAGGTAATTTTAGAACTTATACTAAGCGTCCCAAGGTAAAGTTAGGCTCTTTTCCCACAGAAACTGGGAGATAGAAGCTCTGTCTCCCTTGACCATTAGATTTCAAAGAGTTGGCTCCCAGGTCTTTGAAAATGGCAGTCACAATTTACTATTGCAAGGATGTAGAAACAACCCAAGTGCTCGTCAATTCATGAGTGGATTAATAAAATTTGGTATATGTATACAATGGAATATTACTCAATTATATAAAAATGATGGTGACCTAGCACCTCTTATATTTATTTCCTGGATAGAACTCGAGCCCATCCTCCAAAGTGAGGTATGACAAGAATGGAAGAATAGGCTCCGCATGTACTCTCCATCAAATTGGCACTAACTGATCAACACTATTGTGCTCACAGGGTAGTAATATTCTTCAGGGGTTGGGGGCTTGGGTGTGGGTAAACCCACAACTAATGGAAAAGGTGAGTGTTGTAGGGGGGGAGGGCACACCTCAAATCATGTTTGGGTGTGGCAAAGTCATACTATGTAACCAAAATATTTGTACCCCCATAGTATCCTGAAATAAAAATAAAAAAAGAAGAAGAAGAAGAAAAGAAAAAGGCAGGCCTGGGTTGTAAAACCAACAAGGATTTTTAAAAGATTTACATGTCATTTACATCTCAAAGAAGAGAAACAATTTACAATGACAAGGCTTCTAAAGTAAATGCTCTCAGAAGAGGGAGGGGAGGGACCTTTATTGTTAAGTCTTCTGGATTCTGTAAAGGACAGGTGAGAAGGAGAACAGGGTCCCAAAAGCAAGAAGAAGACATTATGAAGTTTAGCATAACTGAGGGTAACACGAAGATCGGCTTGGTCATATCGATATGGGTACATTAATTGTAACACATATGCCTTATTAATAGAAAATGTTAAGAACAGGAGAAATTAGGCTTAGGTTATATGGGAACTCTCTGTACTATTGCCCATTTTTTCTGTAAATTTAAAAGTGTTTCAAAATAAAAAATGTTTTTTAAAATTACTACAATTTACAGCTACCAGTCCTAATAGATATGTACTTTCTTCCTGCTTCTTACTCAAACTTGCTGACATAAAGATTCCATTTATTCACAGAGCAGCTTTCCCAATGAATTATTGTCAGAATTATTTTTCTTTTTATAATAAATCTCAAAAGAAACTCAATGAAGCAAATTCCTAAGGATACAATAAACCCATAACAAAATTATGCTATTACCATTTTAAGAATGTGAAATGTTAGGTAAAGGCCTTACCTATAAAGCTTAGCTACTATAACATACTTTCATGAAAGTAGGCCTGAAGAAAAGTGGATTTCAGTTTACATCCCAGCTTCACCACTTTAAACTATTGGTTTAAGCAAATTACTTATCAAATGTTTTTTTAAAAAGGAAAAATATAAGTCTACATTGTGTCTAATTTCTATAAACCACTTGTTTGTTTTTCTCTCTCGTAGGACCGTGCACAAAACCTGAACGAAAGGCGGACCACTACCACCACCCTCACAGTGGATATTCTGGATGGAGATGACTTGGGTCCAATGTTTCTTCCGTGTGTCCTTGTGCCAAACACTCGTGATTGTCGTCCACTCACTTACCAAGCTGCCATACCTGAGTTGAGAACTCCGGTAAATATACTCTCATCTTTTCCCCTTCATTTACAGCTTTCTAAGCCCAGTGGGATTGTGTTCTAGTATTTTGCAGACATATTGATTGATAATAGCAAAATTCACAATGTTGAAAAATATTTATATTCAAAACTATTTTCAGAGAGTATTAGTAAATTTGGGGTCAAGATGCATAATTATATCATTATCAAAGTAGTGAGCATGTCAATCTTTCTGACACTGATTATTTTATTTTATTTTATTTTTCCCACTAATAAATCACAGCAGAGTTCAGTTGCCAGTATATTCTGGAAAACTCCAAGAAACAACTCTGGCATTTCCTCAAATTCACCTTTAAACACACGTCCCAAGTCAGAGGACACAAAAGTCAATGGGTTACTCTTTTAGCCCCTAGAGTCTGAAATGTTACTGGAGATTATACTTGGCTGTTTGGAGGTAGGAACTAACATTAATCCTGAAGACAAATACCCATCTCTTAAAGATATATTTAAAAGAAGTAGGGAGGTGAAGCATGAATACATATTTTCTATACTCAGTCCTGCATTTTTGAAAAATGCTAATAGAGTTATAAATTTCTGCCAGTTTTGAATTCATGCCTGGGACCTCCCTAGATGATAGATGTACATACCTAAGAATAAAGAATTGTAAGGCAAACAGATATCCTGCTGAAGCTAAAATATAAATTTCTTCCTAAAAGTAAAGTATACACATATATATTCTGTTTTAGAAAAGTCAAATTGCCTAGAAGTCAACTAATGATTAATGTTTTTGCTGTTTCTCTGAGAAGCATTCAGCTCTCTAGATTCCCAGCATGACTCAGAATGTCAGAATTTGTTGGAAGATATTTGAATTTTTTCTCAAAATGGATGAGAACTTTAGTTTTGTGGGTCCTCACCGTATTAGAAATTTTGAAGAATAAAACAGGAAAGACTTCTAAATGCAAAATAAATTATGTTTCATTTTAGTCACTTCAAAAGTTCTCATCCAACAGTGTAATATGTCTGGGGGCTTTATTCACAGTGGATCTTAAATGGTTGAGAATTACCTTTGTGTATACTAGCACAGATGATCACTGGTACAGTAGATTTGCATTAACAAAAAAAAGCCAGAGGGAAAAGAAAAAATGCTATCATGTGCATTGAATGAAAAAAAATATCAATTTTCAGCTAAATGAAGTAATTTTGCAGACAATAAGGCTAATCAGAACTTATCTGGGCAAATAGATGCATTAATAAACTACCTAAAGTTATATGCCATGATATTATTTTGTTGAATCCCAGTACGAAAACTATTAAAGATGGTGGGCATTAAACCTTCCTTTGAAAGGTTTAGTGGAAGTAATAGTGAGAAAGGTAATTTTTAATATTAATTTATGTTTCTGAGTTAATTTATGTAGCTAGTATACCAGTGAAATCCTGCAAAGGGATGTATTGAGATTACAATAATTAAATCCAGTGAATCAGTCAGATGACTGTTTAACAGTTTTTGGTGCAATGAGGAAAGTAAAGGAAGACAAAGGTTGCTGCTTAAGAAGCACAATGGACTGACTTAATTTTATAAAGAATCATTGCGTCTCCTTTCCTCTCTATCCTAGATTACAGATTGACCATCTCTCTCATTCCTATGCAGTTTAGTGCTACAGACCAGGCCATGCTCCAGATTTAGGGTAATGATATAAATGATAATAATGGCTAAAGATTTTATTGTGTCCAGTTCATAATGAACTATGCTAAGCTCTGCACAAATATTAACTGGTTGAATATACAAAATAACTCTTTTGGATAAATATTCCCAGTAAGCTCATTTTACAAATGAATTCTTAGGGGTAAAAATGTTTAAGTAACTTTCTACAGCCATACAAATAATAAATAATATATATAAGTAATGTTTATACACACACATATATATACATACATATAAATATATATGCATATATATATATATGAATCTTAAAGACTAAAATTTATTTCATGTTTAAGAAGAGTAAATAAAATTCAGATACATTAGAAGCTTAGCTTTACATGCAAAAATGGATAAAGGTCTCATTCTGGCTCTTGTAGCCTAGATTAAGTTGGAGATTCATCATCTTGGTGGACATGGGTGTTGAAAAATATTAATGTTCAAAATTATTTTCAGAGAGTATGGGTAAACTTTTGGTCACAATGTCTCATCCTTTCTATTGTTGTACTAGATATATAATACTCATATTTTGAGTATTAGTACCCAAAGAAAAATTAGTCCAAGGATAAAAATTATTCATTCTTCAATTGACAAAGCCATTTTGATAGTAAAATTGAATATTGTAATGTAAAGAGACTGATGAAATAATAGTGCCCAGTGAAGAAATTCCTATGCACTGAATCATTTGCAAAACAGTAATTATACTAGGAGCACCAAGGGTTCCTGGGCATAGTAGATTCTTGCTGGTAGAAAACGAGATTTTCAAGTAAAGATCAATAATTTGTTTCATGAAAAAGTATCCTTGTGTTTTCTTCTAAAACCATGTTTCTTGAATTAAATGTTATATGCAAAAAATTCCAGAATGATCATTTTTATATTTTATTATCATTTTAACAGATTGAGCCATTTCTTAATGTACTGTGAAACAAAGAAAATTATAGTTTTACATATTCAAATAATTATGACAAATATTTATTTATTAAGAGTTATATTTTATTGCCATGTAGAAAAAAAAGTGTTTACTTGTAAACATAGGCACTTGTTCTAATTATTTAGTTGCTGCATAACAAACCACCAAACTTAGTGGCTTTTAACTACAATTGTTTAATTTACCCATAAAGCTGCAACTTAGGCAAGTCTTGAAGGAACATCTCGTCTTTGCTCCATGAAGGATTAGCTGAGGCACCTTAATTGAGGGTGGGGTGCTATCTTTAGGATGGTTAATTTAGACACTTAGCAAGTTGATTTTGGCTGTTGATTGGAGCTCAGCCAGTCCTGTGGGTGGAAGCTTCATTTTCACTCTTCTTATAGACTGTTTGGGCTTCCTAACAGCAAGGCAGTGGGTTCTAAGAACAAGTTTCCTAAGAGAATTAGGCAGAACTTTTTATGAATGAGCCTTGTAATTTGCAGTGTTACTTCTGCTGTAGTCAAATCTCTGTCAGATCAAGGAGGAGAAACATATTCCATCTCCCTATGAGAAGAGTGTCCAAATCACATTATAAGAAGAATATACAGGAAAGGAAATTTTATTGTGGCAATCTTTGAAAATTAAAATCAGCCGTAGTACTTGGCATTAGGTTTTCATGTTCTCTTGTACATTGTTATTTTGAATTCATTCTGGAACACTAGGTGTAACTGGAGTAGTTTTTGAGATTCACATTCAGATTGTTATGTTTATGTCTGTCCTTTCATTCTTTTTTATTTTCTCTTCTTATTTTTCTCTATACATTCTGCTAAAATTTCATGAAATTTTACTAAGATCTTGCTATTCAGAGTGAGAGAACTAACCATTTATGTCAGATAAGCAGGACATGTTGACTCTAATTATATACTTACTGATCCTTTCTCAAACTAATTCTTCAAATTTTGAAAGCTCTGACATTTGCTCACCTTCTGTGTTGATGTGAAATTTTCTACCAATTACCTTAGTGGTAGTCTTGACTTTAGAAAGCATTCTTAAACCCATTATAGTACATACAGAATTTGTCAGCTCAGAAAAACTTTGAAAAATGTAGTCTAATGTAGTGTTTAACTCATGAGCTAGGCTATAATAAAATCTACTTTATATCAAAATTTAAATAATCATTTATTTAGAAATACACTTATTTTATAAATGTAGATTACATGATTTTTTACTACAAAAAACTTGTTTGTAAAACTTTGTTTTCATAAACATTAAGATTAATATTATATTGAATACATAAATATATTAATCAGATGATTCAAAAGTACTAAAGCAATTGGTAGTCCTATGCAAATCACTTATTATTAACTTGATAAATATCTTCAGGACTCTAATATATGCCAGATTCTATGCTAATTGAGAATCCTGGGCAACTAGGATGAGATAAAATCTTGCCAAAATATATTATTATGTAAATTTATTCTCACTGTTTGACTCTCTTAAAGTTGTTATTAGGTCTACAAAGATTAGGATTTCTAGTATTATGAAAAAAAATCTGTATAATTTGGAATATAGAATGCATGGCTCTATTTTATTTTCTCATTAAGCACAGAGATACAATAAATCCCTACACATTTTTTTCAGAATTGAACAGTGGCATACATTTATTTGTTTGTTTAGCTGGCTGGTTTTTTGCTGAGTAATTTTTCCCTGGACAGAAATGCTATAACGTATTGACATATTATCTATGTGTTTACTGTAAATACCTTCCTTTAATTATTGTATCACATGGTTTTCAGTATTTCAGCATTACTTGTCTCACCAGACATAATCATCTTTTTCCCTCCCCATGTTTAAAGCCTTGGATTTGATCCCAATAGTCTCTAGCCACAAATACCTCCACTGCAATCTTTGCTATAATGAAGTATAGTTTTCATGTCAAAGATAGATCCTCTGGTTTATTTACGGTGCTCTCTCCCTCCAGGGAAGCTTTCTCAGTTATTAGAAAAGTAGTGGTGATATGCAGTGATCTACAACACTTATAATTTCTTCTTGGCATGTATGCTCATTAAATGGGCTATAGTCTGAGAACTCTCTCATGTCTTGTTTTTTTATGAAAGTACTGTTTTTTCTCCTTCACAGGATGGCCTTGGATTTCTCCTTTTAAATCTTTGATAGCTTTTATTTATTATTTTTTAAAACTGAATCTCTTCCCTTCATTTTTTTTTACTTATTCTAACATTTTAGAGATTTTCCAGGTTTCTATTCTATGCATTTTTTTACTATACTTTTTCCTAAGATTGGGTTGAGCAAACCTACATCAATGAGTTCTATTTTCTTCAACTAGAGTTATTTATTTGTTGTAGATGTGTCTTCTGACTTAAAATGTCTGCTGAGTTCCAAGCTTACATTTCTC